ATATATATACAGAGAGCGAGAGAGAGACAGAGAGACAGAGAGATTATATATGGATATGTTGCATGTGACACTCTGTGTAGCTAAAGAATGCTATTCCTAGTCTCACTAGGCGAGTGAGACTAGGAATCGCATTCTTTAGCTACACAGAGTGTCACATGCAGTATATCCATATATAATCTCTCTCTGTGTTGTTGTTGTCGTAGGCGAGTTTGTTTTTTCCTCATGAGTTCTCCTGTTGTTTCTTTGGTTGCTTATCTGCCTATACGTTGAGTGCTTGCTTTTCTTCTTGTCCGTTGGTTTTCATGCCTACCATGTTCTCGTCTACCCGCAGCGTCGCTGCTTATTTGTCTAGTGGATAGGCCGTTTGGTTCTGTTGTAAGCCTCCCTCCATCTTACCGCTCAGTGTCGGGACGCCATTTATCAGCGCATTTGCGTGTTCGTTCTTGTGCCGCAGTGCTCTCCGACTCGCTGTCCCACGAAGCAGCAACAGCAGATATGCAAACATTGCAGGACAGAGCACAGTGGTTGTTGGAGGCCTTCACCCAGTTGGAGGCCCCCAGCCAACATATTAATGATGAGGATTTCATAGAAGTACATATAATAGAAGTTGCTGCTGGGCTGCGTAGTGTTGCTCTTTACTCTGCTGCGGTTGTACCATATTCGAGCTTGTTCAGTATGGTGTTTCGCTATCATCGTGCACGTGGTTTGAACTGTCGATATTTTCTCGTCAGATGTGCCTGATTTTATCCATGCCTTGCTCACACACTTTTGCTGTTGTATTTTTTCGGTATTTCCGTACTTTTGCCTGTCAGTCATTTATCGTCGGTGCCGTCTTACTGTTTACATGTAGTTGTTCAGTTCATCCCCATTTGTTTGCATGGGGATGAAAGAAGGAAAGGCCGCAATGCGTCGCAACGACAAGTGGAAATGTTTTCTTGAAATTCTTCTCTGTTTGCGTCTGATGCCGTGTTGTCTCTCGTTATGTTTGTTCCCGTTTGTTCTTAGACTATTTTGTAGCGGGACCATTGGCTTTTGTCCCCGTGATTTCCTGTTTCCCCTCCGTCCCCTTGCCTGTGGTCGGATGGTCCTGGTTTTTCTCTGTCGTATTTGTTTCCGTCTATCGCTGGTCGTCACTTGTGGCTGGGGATCAAAGTTCTGTAGACCGAAGCAACAATGCACAGACGGAAGGGAAGGTGTATGGAATTGCCACGTTGTTTGTGGTGTATGCGCACCTCAGCTACTACAAGAATACAGTACGCATCTTGAGAAAGCCCAGCCGTGCCTCCGGCTTCGCTTTAAAGGAGAGGCGCCGGTTCTGGAGGAGCGGGTGGCCAATTGTCTGAAGCGCGTTAAAAGGTACTTCAACAGCACACATATCGGCAAGCACCAGATAATGTCCTTGCCATATAATGGTAATTAAATGGGAGGTTTCGAGTTCCTGTTTATGATGCGTTAATTCGATGGAATTGCGGGAGCATATGCACGTGGCCTGCTTAGTGAAATAAAGGCCTTGTACACATTGAAGCTTCTGAAAGCCAGGAGTGACGCAAAGATTGGATTTTGACGACACCTATTTTACCTTCTTGCCGTCGATACTGACTTCGTTTTGTTCAGGCTGAGCCGCGCTCTGCGCACATCCAATTTTGCGGAAGGGAGCTGACAATGCAGTTTCGTGGCGGTTCTGTTTATTCTCCTTTCATCAATCCTCCCTGCTTCCCTCTTGTTTGCGGTTCCACCCCGATATCATATATTCTGTGGATTGTATGTAGCTGTCTTCATTTCTACATGCGGGAGAGGCTCTCTTTGTTCAGCTTCGTGCGTGTTTTTTAAGGCATTGCTCCTACTGTTGCTGCCACCTTTTGCCATTTAGTCAGGCACAACGGAGCCTCAAGCTGCTTTTCAGCAAGACTGAAGAATAACGGCAAATCTCGAACTTTCAAGCTACACATTTTACAGGGAAGCACGAGACAGCCGGTTCATACCAACTCGATACCGAGAGAGCAGTATGCAGGAGTAACTACGCAGTGAAGCTGACACAACACCGCATCCTAAAAGGGACACAAGCCTTTCGTAGCAGTGCTAATACTGGGAATAAATTGGTACTCTATGCACTCCAGAGAGTTAACCTGCAGTAGCGTCCGTGCCATTTGCGGCAGCAGGGTCAGCAGGAGGCTCACTTCCTATGTAAGTGGTAGTTGTGTGTCTCTGTATTGCCTTCCTCCTTCTAAAGCCCTCCTCTAGTGAAACGCTCCTGATGCCCCAGCTGCCGTTTCGTCTATGGTAATTTGCATACGATCTCAACTGGTGTATTATTCAGTTCGAGTGCATGACGGAAGATTCCCTTTTCATGTGCTTGTTAGCAGTTGGCTTTGGAGCTGTGTGCTTGTGTTTGCTTCCATGTGGTTCTAAACTTCATTCATACCATGACGTGGCACTCAGAGGTGCAACACATACAGAGGAAGAGATAGGTTTAACCCCGCGATCTACACCCTCATACCCACGTCAAGTAGTTCCACCCGGCGGACTGCGGAGCGGAGTGCCCAAACTTTGCAACGCTAGACATTCCAATGGCCTTGGCACTAGGAGTGTGGCGAGGGTCTTCAGTGCTCTCTAAACTCTACGCACAAAGCGACTAGCAGAGTTATAACGTCGGAAACTAGCAAGTCTACAAGCACCTTTGGAAAGTGGAAGGAAGTGCGAGAAAGCACAGCTCACACACGGTAATTTCAAAGGGGTTGTTCACACTCCACTGACACGGATTTTCTCTCGTGGGTCTCTTAAAACAAAGAGTATAAACTATCTTAGAAGCGTGGCATCAGGTGAACCAGGCGATGCGCAATTGTTTGGATGAAATACCGCTTGCGTTACCTGGTCCTTGTGGGGGAAATGACGGTAATACGACGGACAGTAATCACTGAAGACCTTGGATGCAAAGCTATTTAGTTTCAAGGGAGGAGCCGTAAACCACTGCTATTTTCTCTACTCCGCCTCACTCTCTAAGTGTCGTTGCCGACATCCCTGCACACCAACGAATTTCAATATCGGGCCAAGTAGCGGTATCGATAAAACTCTGCCTTCCACAGCGCATTTAGCATCATAATAGCTGCAGTTAATACATCTTGGAATAGCAGTGACTTTTGTGGTTTCAGGAGGGAGTTCATGGACAAAGTTGCCGCCGCCGGGACACGCTGTGTAGTAATCAGGCACTACAACGGCTCACCCTGTGAAGCCTCTAGCGGTTGTTTGCACGAAAGCAAATGATATCCTAGACATAAATTAGAGCATTTATCCATGAAGTACACTAAGCATTCTACGAGCGCCGACAGCCAATCGCGGCCGTGGGGCTGGCTGGGGCGCTGTAGATCCGACCCACCTTCAGGGGTGAGGGCGAGATAGTTCTATGTTGGGTCTTCTTTTTGAATAGAAGGCAACCAGACACTTGTGTTCGGGTTTATTGTGCTTTGTCGGGGTTGTTTTAAGGGCAGAAATCTGGATTTTCTTGCATAGCGGTTCAGGATTACCATACAGTCACGCCGGTTGACTTATGTAGTGGCCACCGTGTGCTAGCCGTGTACTAGAATTACTCCAGCAGGCTAGGGAGGATACGCGTTTACGGCTAACGACTCCACTCCACGGGCTGCATTATGTGCTGGTCTTGCCTGAATCCGACTATATGGTGACCCTTATGTTGCCGAACAATCAGCAGGGATAGTTGTGCTACGTTAAAATCAGCAATGATAACTACCATCGCCGGCAAAGACAACCCTGTGGGGTTGTCTTATCCTCAAGAGTATCAATCAATGGAGACGGCCGGAACGTCTGACAGTGAACACAGCAGTGCAGCAGGTTAGGCAGACGCAGTAGTGTGCATATATGAGGTACCAATAGACAAGCAATCACCTAGGCAGACGGGGCAGGGGTTCTGCCTCGCACAGAGACCAGTTAGGCGACGATGTAGCCCACCCCACTAGCCCGGGGCCGCGGATCGCCTCAAACAGGAGCAAAGAAGGCAGCTAGGAGGGTGGTAGGGACTTAGGGAGTTGAGATCAACACAATCTAGGGTAGCGAGCTCAGGCCGGCAAGGGAGTAAATTGTAGTGCACAGGCGCTCCAATGGCTCACTCTGTGAAGCCTCCAGCGTTTGTTTCCAAGGAAGTAAATGATGTGATATAATACCATGGGTAAACTATAGCATATATGCGTGAATTATGTCACACTATCAACGAGCACAGACTGCACATCGCGGCCGTGGGGCTGGCTAGGACGCTGAGGCACTGAGCCACCTTCAGCTGCTCAGGGCGAGACAGATCTATTTTGGGCAATCATTTTGCATAGAAAGCAACCAGAGACTTGTGTTCGGGCTTATTATTCTTGGTTATGGTTATTTTAAGGGTAGGAATCTTGATTTTCGTGCTTAGCAGTTTAGGTGCACCATATAGTCAGGTAGAGTACCACCGGAGTCACAGCCGAGGGCGAGCCGTGTACTACATACTGCCGCTGCCGACAAAGGCCGGCGCAGCAGGGAAGGCAGCTGCAATTCCTTCTACCTTTCACACCTGTGAAAAATAAATTGGTCCTACGAGTTTAAAGAAGAGAAGAAAATATTAAAGAGTGCATAATATTTCCATTATTTGCTGCGCGCTGCTTGTGTGCGGAGCAGCCGGACCGCCGCGTTGGATGCAGGGCTGCTGACCGGTCGGCGCAGTGACTAGCTGAGGCTGGAGCCCGATCTCACCCAGGGAAATACTAATCATGCAGAGCTTTATAAACACCAGCTTTTGTTTACTGGGACACGAAAGTTAATATCTTTGTTTCTCAGTCAGTAGATAGCAGAAGGTGGCGCGGCCCTTGGTCAGTCTGTTGCGCCGCTGAGCCAGACGCAGACCACAGTAGGTTGATCAGCGGAATCCATCGATAATTTGACTCGTTTATGTTCCCCTGATAAAATAAAGGGGGAATTTTTTGCTGGAATTCTTTCCAAATATCCCCAAACCCTCCACAATGGTTCGTTCTGGTTCGGTTTCCGCGAGCCCGTGCGTTCGCTGGGTGGCCTTGGCGGCTGCGATCTTTGTCAGCGTCGCCGAAATTCCATCAGTTGTTGGCCAACTACGTTTTGCTGCCATTGGAAATTACGGATTCGACATCTCCGGGCAGAAAGAAGTCGCAGAAACCCTCAAGAAGGCTGCGACTGAACAGCGCATCAGTTTCTTGGTCAGCCCGGGAAGCAACTTTCCCAATGGCGTGTCCGGCGCAAACGATACAAAGTGGGATGAATCGTTTGAAAGCGTTTACTCTGATGAAAGCGGATCTTTAAAAATGCCATTTCTTACAGTCCTTGGTGCAGACGACTGGTCCGGCAACTATACTGCTATGCGCGAACGAACAGACCTTGTCTATGGAGACGGCTCAGAAGCTGAAGTTGTCTCTAACTCCCCTAAATGGACTCTGCCTAACTGGTGGTATCACTATGCAGTCCATTTCGCCGCCACTACTGGTGAGTTATTGTTTCTGCATTTTCTCAAGCATGGTCTGTAGCTGCAACAGCTGCAAATGTGACAACTAAGGTTTCAACTGGCTGCTCTATGTTTCCAGCTGTAACTCTCCTCTTCCTTCCGAAGTGGCTCTTGTCGAAAGTGGTTCCCCTTTAATTGTTCAGGAAGCGCTTTTATCAGCTCCGGACATAGAGATATGAGCGTTGGTATGGTGTTTATTGACACCTGGGTGCTTTCTTCTGCGTTCCCATTCGGCAACGTGACGGAGAAGGCGTGGAAAGACCTAGAGAAGACCCTAGAGATCGCACCAAAGGTATTTGACTACATTATTGTCGTTGGCAACAGACCGGTGTACAGTAGCGGGTCCTCCAAAGGTGACTCCATGCTACAGTACTACCTGCAGCCCCTCTTGAAGAAAGCGGGCGTAGATGCGTACATTTCTGGCTACGATCGCGACATGGAAGTCATTGAGGTGCGTTTGGTGGCACTAAGCTCTCACATTTTGCCTGCATGATGTTTTGTTTGCTCTGGGACAAATGATACATATGTTTCTCATGCTCTTGTCGCGGTGGCACGAGCTGTGTGTGCAAACCCCTTTTCCATCGTTTGAATAACGAATTGTTATCTTCTTATTTGGCATTTGCGCAGGAGGATGACATCGCTTACATCAACTGTGGTACAGGTTCTCTGTCTGGAGGCTCCGCTCTCGTAAAGTCGTCAGGATCAAAGTTTTTCAGCGGGGATAGGGGTTTCTGTCTCTTTGAGATGACAGCCGATGGCCTCATAACGAAATTCATAAGCGGCGAAAACGGAGAAACACTTTATGAGCACAAACAGCCGGTCAAGACTAGGCCAGAGAGATCCACCGTAGGTCACCCTAGCTGCTGGTAGTTTCACGCTGTTCGCGAGCACATACACATCGGAAATCAAATTCCATGACAATATGAATCCCGCTTAAGGTTGAAAGTTGTACAGCTAGCTCATTCCTCTTCACAATTTCTGTTTCCTCCTGTTTGTTCAGATCGATCAATTCAACTACCTCAGTGAAATGCCAGAAGTTGCGTATTTCCCGGTGCCTGAGATGGGGAAACTTCCGGGTAAAGACGTTTTTGTTCGAGTGGTCGGCACAATCGGTCTCTGCATTTTGGCTTTCTTGGGCAGTCTGGGGGTCGCAACAGGGGTTTCGCGGGCGATGAAATGAAAATAACATCATTCAAATTGCTTTAGTGCTTTAGCTATTTTAAACGGCCTCCTGAATTGGCAGCTCTCTCTGCCGTCCGCATGTGTGCGTGCCTGAAGCACAAACTAGTATGCCGGTGTGCTCACGCGTGTTGAACACTTTGCATGCACATGCAGCTCTCTAATGAGATGCAAATCGCAGCGTATCGCTGTGTACGCACACCACGCCGGCTGTGTATACACATACAGCCCGGTAGTCCGGTCGCTTGTGAGGACTGTCGCTTCCTTTGGCACGAGCCCTTAATTTGCTCTCTGTCAGTATTTGCACACTCTCATAACACGCAGCGGCAAATGTAGCCCAGTGGCGCTGCCCGCTTAGCAACGCAAACTCCTCCGTCACCGTATACCTACTCAGAAGTTGCCTACATCAAAGACGAAGGAAGGCCTGCTTAGCTATCAGTATCCGAGTTCTAGTCCTACACGGCAAATAGCAACAGTAACAAATAACGAAGGGCGAACGGCGCAAGAGTTGAGCGGTCTATACACCTCAGCTGCTCACAGCGCGTTCGGGAAACAGTCCAAGTTTCGGGGCATTGTCTTAGTGAGGCAACAGAAAGCACAAAAAGTGCTCAGTGGCCCTCAGAACGAATTGAGGAAAGCTGTTGCTGCTGCTACAGTGGTAGCAGCAACAGCAAGGTGTTGCTGGTGTGAGAAACATATTGCGTTCCGAACAAGGAATTCCCACTGAGAAAGAAAGAGAAGACGGCTGGAATAAGCAAATGAAATACCTAAGCTGCCTCAGAGCTAAAAACGCGGCAGCACAAATATGAAAAGAAACGCTTTTTACATCTGTCGTTCGGCGAGTGTGCGACGCTGAGGCCCAACAGGGCAGTGCCAGCACACAGCAAGCAGGAGGCAGCAGCAGACTTCCTCTTCGTCTCCTTTCCCTTATTCTTCAGTCGGTAAATGCAAATAATAGTGCAAAGAGAAACAAATTGTGCTGCCAACGCCGTGCACGCCTTGGTCGCATTTTCCCGTCTTTCACTTCTACCTCCAAACAGACCCCCACGCTGTAGCTGAAGATCCCACGAGCGCTGCTGCTGCTGCTGCTACTGTTGCAGGACACACAACAACAACAGCAGCAACAGTCGGCGCTGTTGCAGCAGCGGAATGAGTGTCTTCAGGAGCACATCTTTGCGCGTTCTAGCAGAGTCTTCGGCAGCTGCAGGTTCGGATGAAATCTTTGCATTTCCCGCAGGAAGCCGAGACTGAAACAAACAGATCACAGTAGCAAAATACAGCATGGGCTTCACCGGGGGACAACAGGAACCCCAACCAGCACTAAAACACAACACTGGCGTGAAGCTGTGGTGTTTTAGTGCTGGTGGGGTTCTGGCGTGAAGCTGTTTGCTGCAGATGCGTCATATCATTATACCCTACGTCTTATAGAACAGGGGCATATAAAGTCTTATATACACAAACGGCAAAGACTGCATGGCTCTTCGCACCGCAGCTGAGGCTCATCCATATTGGCCCAGTCGTTGAAGGGAAGCCGCACTTTTTCGTTGGCTGTGACCTGCAAAGGAACATGCAAAATAGGATGCTCGTCTGAAGACGCAGGAAAGAGTGTACTGCTGCTGTGTACGCAGAGACCATCTGAAGGTGCAAACGCCTCCAAACAAAACCAAAACAACGATAGAAGTGCAGCATGCATCATACAAACCTCGATGGCGGGGTTTCGCACTTCTTTGAAGAACGGGTGCGCCAAACACTCGTCCACCGATATGCGTCTTTTGGGATTAAAGACCAACATCCGCTTCAGCAAATTCAGTGCTTCAGCTGCAAATAACAAGCAAGGAACAAACGTACAGAGATATTTGGGGAGCGCAGCCGCCTGTTGAAAGATACAAAAGTGAAATATGCACAGATGTAGTACTTACACATGCAGTATGTACAGTTTACATGCGTAGATAAACCTTATATCTTGTACATTATACATTAATATGTACATTAGGCCCTATACTTTGGCAGGACGAGAGAAAGCGCCAGAAATACGGAAGCAATGGGCAAGTAGCAGCGGAGTAATTGATGTCACCTCATACCCTTTATTTGTTTTTTCTGCATTTTGCTATTGTGTGCTAACTCTATATTTTAGGGACTTGCGCACGGGAAGAAGCGGAAAAGCGTTCAGCCAGGTCGTGAGCCTCCTTGGGTGGGAATGTGCGTATGTATTGTTTGGCTTCGTTGGACTCCAGAGCTTCGATCTCTTCTTCGGTCGGTGTTCCCAAAACGTTGAATATCACATTTAACTGATCTTTGTTGCCGCGCGTCTGCAGCCTGCAGCAACAGAAAGACAGCAGGGAATCAAACAGAAAATAACACGCAAAAGGAATAAGATGGGAGTAGCAGGGATAGCTGGGGAACGAGGAAGAAACAACAGGAAGAGGCAAACAGTGCCAAAACCAAAACCCAAGGAACAACCAAGAAGAAACAGACACACACTAACGAAAAATGCAGCGGAAACGAAAACGCTTAGATTCAAGGCACACAAAATCACAACCGCGTGACAGGCCAGCAAGGAACAGAGCACACGCAGACAAACGAAATGGCGGAAGGAACAAATTCAAAAAGCGCTGGCGCACAGGAAGGCAAAGCGACACAACAGAAACCAAGTGCAGGCAAACAAGAAGGGTGACCGAGAAGAAACAAATCAGCGAGGTTGATGATGACAAGCAAGAGAGGCCGGAGACAGCAAGCAATCAATATGAATGAATGCGAGCAAACGAACTACGAATACGGGGGTGAGACAATAAACAAATACGAACGACGGACCGTGAGTCATCCCCGTTTTTCTGGTCGGGGGATAGTGGAAAGCAAGAGGAACCCGGAAAGAGGGGACCCCTGTCGCAGTGCGACTCCACGTTTTCTTCCTGTCATTACAGGAGACAAATAAGCAAATAAACCATGAATTACAAGCCGCCCACAGAGGCAAGCGGTACAAATGGAGAACAAGCCTTATCGACAGAGTGTACGCACTGGGCAGCTGGAGCAACAGCAGACTAGCGTGGGAACGAGGCTGTAGAAGAGAAGATAGAAGTGCAAACAAAAGGCCTCGGAATTTGTTGCCAACGAGCGAAAGACAGACAAAAAAGCAAAACAGGGGGAATACAGCACAAAGCCCAACCCTCAGATGAGGATGAACAGGGCCAAATATAGGAAGACGGAGACACTTCCATATAGGGAATATAGATACAACCAACGAATAAAAACCAACAAAACCAGATTCCAGTTGTCGTTTCGCAGGGAGCAAGGGAACGCCGCAAGGCGGAAGTAATGGAAACAGTGGAATACAACCAAAAGGTAAAAGACGGACAATCATGGACAGCAACTCCGAGAAAATGCAGCCGATAGACCACACATCGATGGCCTCAGTGTAGTTTTCCGCCAACAATATCAACTCAGGCGCTCTGTACCACCTACAGGAGAGACATTGCAACACACATGGACTCTCGCGCAACAAGAATCAATGAATGATTGCAACATGTTCAACAGGCAGAGAGTTGAGGATCAACGCAAACGCCCAGCCAGACAGAACATCCAACAGAGGGATGACAATAAAAAGCCAACAGACGATCTGATCTGTCGTCTGTTCATGGCTAACCCAAACCAATGCAATCAACCTACTGCTGCTGCCAATGCTGCTGCTATTGTTTCCTTCACTGTATGCACGCTGCCAATTTGTGTACTTTGCTGGTGCTGCAGCAGTCTGCGTCTGAATTTACCGGGTAACAACATGGCCCGTGAGTTGTCTTTTGAGGTTCTTGGTGTGGGACACACTGACGATGTCGTCGTGCTGCTGCGTGACGGGGCAGTGGCTGTTTTGCCTCTCAGGGAAATCCATTGTCCGAGCCAACCCGAAATCGCACACCTTCACGCTGCAGTCCTGATTTACTAGGCAGTTCGCTGGCTTCTGTTCATTAGCGCAACGGCAACAGAACCAACATTATCAGCATCGCAAACAGCAGCAAAGCACGAAATGGAAGGCTCCCTCTGATGCCGGAGTGTCTGGGCTTAGCAACTTTTGCGTAGAGAAGCGCAATGATCAGAAAGCGGGCTGTTCTGGGTGTTGGCATTTATGCACAGTTCTGGCTCACCAGATCACGATGAAGAATCCCCGCGGAGTGTACATATTTAACTCCGACGAGCAGATTGTATAGAAGCGTTTTAATGTGCAGCTCCGTCAAATAGACAGGCGCTCGAAACAACTTCTTGAAATCCGAATCCGCAATCTCTAAGACGACGTACATCTCCTGAAAAAACAGCAGGTGCTCTTAACGCATCGACAATAAGCAAAAGTCCAACTGTGCAGCATGCAGCAGCAGCCCCATGTGCCAGCGACCCCAGCTCCAGTGGACCGACCGCCCGTCATGTACGGGGAGATTCACTCCTGCGGGCGTGTATGGTGGTGCGCAAACACACATCAAATTTCTCGAGGTCGTTGGGAACGAGAATGTCCAAAATTTTAACGATGTGGTCGTGATTTAGTCTGTTTAAGATCGCAATTTCCCTCAGAATCCTTTTGCAGTCAATCAAGTCTTCAAAGACGCGATGGATCTTCTTAATCGCCACAATCCGCTGCTCCTGCTTGTCGTACACCTCACATACGTGACCTGCAGGCACCGGCAGAGCAGCACATACACTGCAGCATGCGGATCTCTCTTTGCCATCACCATAAGCAAATGATGGGAAACAAAGCAGGCTTCGTGATTCGCTTATGCGGCAAAAAAAGGCCTACGAACCGCCAAACGTTCAAAACCCCGCTGTAGAACGCACCGTAAGACCCAGTTCCGATGAGATGATGCAATTCATATCGTTCTGGCAACTGCCAATCTGTCAAAGGATGAGGCATGCGGGTGGGTTTGACCGCGTGAGGGTTCTTCCGCTGCTGCTCGTGTTCCTGGTGTCTGTGCTGATGCTGCGACGCGGGAGGCTGTACAGTCCGCGGCGGCTGCTGAGTCGAGCTACAGGGGGAGGGGGAATCAGCGGCTACTGCTGCTGGCTGTTTGGTTGCTCCGTTGGGGGGGCCCCCATGACATTGCTGCTGGTAGTACACATGCTGGTGGTGAGGGTCGTACCGCGGCTGCTGCTGGTAGCGGGAATACTGATGCTGCGGCTGCAGCTTCTGGTACGGAGGATGCGATGCACATTGAGTGTATCCTTGTTCAATACCAGCAGCAGGCGCCGCACTGACGGCGCCTTGAGACTTTTGATAGCTCATTACAAAAAACTGTAGATAGTTAACAGTGCTACGAGCTGCTATGTATTAAATCTTCCAAGAACACTACAACACCATGGCCACAACGTGGGAGAGGTGGATACTCTGCTGAAATTTCCGGGAGGGAAAAGAGCTTAAATTAGGACGCCTGTACATCGAAAGCGGAAGCAGAGATGGAATGAGACCAACAGGTCGAGGAAAGCTAGAAAAGCCGGCGTTCAGCTCTTCCTGCAGTCTTATTCCCTCTTGCAGGTTATGTCAGTGAAGCAGTCCGACCGGTCCAGTTGAACAACACCAACAACACAAGGTGTACGTACACCTGGCGGGCGCCTATCTGTTACACACGCCCGCTATCTAAGCCTTCTAGGGCTTTCTTAGGAGCCCGACAAGGTCTTCAATTCTAATATCTAATCAAATATACCTTATATTCCCGGCGGGAAATCCCGTTTAGCTGCAAACTGCCTCATGCCAGCCCGACCGCCTCGGCGTCGTCGGCTCAGGCACCAGCAGCGATGCCTGACCGATAGTGACGAGACAGCACATGCGCCTATACCATTCAAAAAAAGCAGAATGGGCATATGAATAGAAATATATATCCAAGGTCAAGAGATTTCCTAATGAAATGGCATTCCGTAAAGGGTTTGGTCGTCAGTTCCGCCCGCTGCCATGGGGGGCTGTGAAGGTCTCTGTGAGCTGAAAAAGTGTCAGTTGCTGTACCTCGATGTTAAAAACAGAAAAAAAAGACAATTGTCTTCTGAGGAAAAGCCTAAAAACATGACACTGGGGAAAATCGTGGCATAGGAAGGGTGCCAGGCTGTTGCACCCCCGCGCGACCCCGGCGCCTGCAAAAGGCCTAAAAGGGTATCTAGAGACCTTTGCCGGATCTTTCTGTTGCTCTTGAGCGCCAGCAGAGATGTTTAAAGACAATGCAGAACGGCATGCAGGCCCTAAAGAGGACGCGTTACCGCGGGGCGTATCTGACCCGAATCCTCTGGGGGGGTTGTGCACTGGGGGGCCTCCTCTCTTGCCCCTCCTGTACATCTCGATAGATCTGCTTTCTAAACTCCCAAATGCCTTTTATAGCACTCTTCCCTTCACCATATCAATTAATATGTCACAATTTGTGTTGTCTGTGCACGTTCTTCCAGGTTGCGGCGTATTGCTGTGCTGGTTCCGTTGGGGATACTGGAGACTGCCGAGTGTGCATACAACGCTGCGCTTAGCGCTTCCCTATTGCTATTTACAATAAAATATCCAATAGACTACTGTCATCAGAGGCAACAAGCATTGTGTACGGGCCTACGGCTCGTTAAAGCTTGGATATTCTTCAAGTCCCACCCAAGTGAGAGAGAACGCACCTTCACGATTTCGGCAGATGCAGTATTTTTGATGCAATATTGAATGGCTTTATGACTGGTCGTTGTGACATATGTAGAGGCATTTGCTTTACTGTGCGTGCGTTCGTTTCTGGTTGTCCTGCGTACGCAATAGCTGGTGTCCTCGGTTTTAGCACAGTGCCTCCTTGAGAATTGCCATACTTTACAGAAGCGTTCTCAAATATCAAGTAGTGTTCCGTCAAGCCTCCACATTTGCTTCCAGGGGCTTAAGGATCTGGTGAGAGAACGGAGGGGTGGCGGTGTGCGATGCGTTCCAGAGTCCTTTCTGCAGCACTTTTTGTCATGCACCCCTGCATGCTGTCATACCCAACTCAGCTTTTGGTGCATGCAGTAATGCAATGGGCAATTATTAAACATTTGACCGGCAGTCAGTAGCCAGCTTGCCAACAAGTGAAAGTACATGTTGGAGCATGGCGCCAACAATGGTGCAACTGCTTGATTCGTGCCTCAAGCTGGCATGGCCACAATACACGTGCCATCATCATTGGCCACTTTAATCAACGTCGGAGTTTATAAAGATGCTATATATTAGCCATAATCAGTCCATAAGTGGGCATATGTCGGCAACGTTTTGAGATCAGGGTCTCCAGTGCTAAAAGCAACTGAACCGTTCTAATCATGGTCTACAGAATATCGAGTTCCTCCCGTGTTGGCTTAAATAGATTATGTTAACTCCCTTCTCAGACCACAAGAAATAAGTGAAAGGTACTGCCGCATCAAAATCTGCCTGCAGTTTGGTAGACGTCGTCGCGTTAGTAGTCCAACGGTTAGGATACCTGCCTTCCAAGCAGGCGACCCGGGTTCGACTCCCGGCTGACGCATTTGCTGGAACGTTTTTGCAAGCTATTTAGCCTTGCAAATCTTGGAATTTTGAATACTTATGAACCCAGTGGGCTTGCCAATACACTTTCTGAAAGAACCAGGCCGGTAGATTATATGGAGCATTGGCCTTGCCAATATTTCATATATATGCAATCCAGATTAGCAAGCCAACGAGCGTTCCATATATTCGAAGCAATTCTGTGGTCTTTGCAGAAGTCGTAGTCCGTCACAATCGGATGTGTGTGGAGCCCAGGAACTTTGAGCTATGCTGCCCACGCTGGCCCGTCGCCTCGGTGAAATGGAAGCCGCTTGACCAAGAGGGGTTTTGCTTTGACACTTGCTCCTCTGAACATGAATATCCAAAATCTCGGTTTTCTCACATTTCTTCTTCAGAATGACGTCATGCAGGATCTAGTCGGCAATATTTCCATAATTCCCTGAACAGGTTAACGAAAGTGGCACCACGTTTATGGGGACATACCCACAGGTACAGTTACGGCTTATTGCAGCCCATTAGTCTGAACAACTAACTCCAAAAGGTCGCAACTCAACATAAAAGAAATTCCCCTGGACGTTCACCCTCCTGGGAAAGTCGGAGAGCTTGACAATGCAGTAGAAACATCTCCCCTGTTTGGAGAGCCCGCCGTAATATCGTGGCTAGATATCATGTGTTGTAGTCATATTTTACTAAGGTGCTGCAGACTAAGTATGGATGGCAGCTGCTGCCCTAGGGTTCTGGATGCTAGTACCCAGGTCAAATCTTCGGTCAGGCATCTGTTTCTGTGTAAAACAAATAAGAAAGAGAACTCCAGGAGGAAGAGTGCAGTGCAGTATTCTAAGCCCATTCCGCATAAAGGCTGGTGCCATGACGTGTTTATGAATTTAGGTGCATATAGAATTGCAAGCAACGCAAAGGGGTGCTGTTAGCTTTTTCAGTCTGAAGGTTTGGTCCCACATATTTAGTGGTGGCTGTTTTATGGCTGGTACTAAACCACTTCATACACTTATATTGGAATGTGCTGAACTTCACGCGCTTGCCAGTAACGATGCTTTCCAGGGAACCGTGGAGCTTTGAGCTGTGATTTGCAAAAGTTTTGGGTGGCGCATTTCTGCTGGCATTGAACTTGAATAGTTATGGAATGGGTGTATATTCCCGCTCCTTTCGTAGATGCTATGACACACCCTGGCTGCTGGTAAACCCAATATGAAATCCATTGAGATCTTCGGGAACCATACAGGGATCGGAAGTCCGCATGAGCTTTTTTCGAGACTTTTCCGCAGCGCATGCTGCTGGCGTTCCAGACAAGTAAGGAGATATGCTACCCAGTGTGAGTTGCGAAGACCATGGCCTGCTAGAGCATGGCCGTGCTCTATGCTTGCCGCAGTTGTTACGAAGAAAGGTTTGCCGAAATCGGGGGCCATCGCTTGCTGCTGGAGACTTCGCCAGGGGTTTAGTGAAGGCTCTGTCAGCCTCATCTTTAATCGCTGGAAAAGAAGTCATATGCCCTTCTTAAGTACGTTTGTTAGGGCAATGCATCTGGATTTATCCAGATCTGGTCGCCTCGACCTCCAATTATAATTTGGACCTGCTGTGGGAGGGACTTTAATTGTGTGCACTGTGCGCCCCGCTGTTGGCGGTAGTTGTTAAGTTCCGTTTTGCATAGCAAATATGTTGATTGGGTCGAATATCTCCAAATTGCTCTTCTTATAGGACCATCACCAAAGCCTGCCTGCATTTGCGCGCCACTCTGCACAACATTCAAGTGTCTTCGGTTTGTATTTCTTCCGACACAGATTCCAATCCTCTTCCCGTGAAGACCCAAACGCTGGTAGGAGCATTTGTGGGAGCAATCTCTTATTGCTTTCCCGCAGCTGCATGCACGCTCTCACCAGTGATTCGCCCACGTGAGTTGGCTTATGGCATGGTAATTCACCCCGACATAGAAGCCCCATACAACGATAATATGAGTCATTCTTGAACCGCCATCCCATTTGATTTCCGCTAATCTACCGGAAGTCGTTTGGTTTCTGTGAGGTGCAGCCGCGGAAAATGATGCTACAGATATACGGGCAGGCTGCACTCCCCTGCCGTAGCTGCAGAAGTAGGATTCACTGTGCAGCTGGTGCAAAGAACTGTCAGCAACTCTGGACTATTAGCAGAAAAATTGAGAAGCACAGAGTTGATCTGAGGAGGGTTATGTAATTGCTGCTGTCACCTCTTTCGTCCTCATCCTCGCGCAGTGCTGTGCAAGGAGACCAGCCTGTTCCTCTTGGGTGCTCAAAATCTCGCTTTTCCAGTTCCATTGACCCTTTTTTACCTCTGCAAGCTCGCATCATATGGCTCTATTTTGTTGTAAAAGGAGCAGATGCTCCCCTCAGCACATCACCTTGGGTTTCCCTATTGGATCCGCCGGTTGTAGTATGTGCGGGCTTCTTAAATTCCCTGGAACGGGGTTTCTGCCCTCATCGTCAATATCTACAGGCGTTGTAGGTGCAACAATTTCAATCACGTTTTCTGCCTTCCGCCTTTGTGCAGTACAAACGGTTCCTTTGCTATATTTCGTGCACAAACACTCCAGAAACTCGACCAGTTCCATCCCTGCACCAGCCTGCTGCTCTTCAGCAGGCGGCTATGGTATGGACTCTTGAAGGGGAAGCTCCTTGCCCAGGGCTAGACTGTTATGTCACCCAGGATATGTACAAAAGTTGAGAGGTGGATATCTAGTCCCCTTTTTCTAAGCTGCCCTAATTCTTCAGTAACCTATTTTCTTGCAGATATGGAGAGAAGCAAATGTTGCAACTCCCTCAAAATGCTTCGCTAGTTCAGCGCTGCGCCTGAAGTGTGGTAGGTGTGTGTTAATTTATTCCCACCGCTATCATGCCATCCGCCTAATCCGCATTTTGCCCGTGGCAACTCTACACCACCGCCGCATTTTGACGACAAAATTAAATTTCCAGAGGAACAAGTAATTTCTTTATGACCCCTGAATGGCAGCGCACGTTATTGTGGGACTATCCCGGGCAAAGCCGGATATATTTTCTATGGCCTGACTATGCCGTAAGGGTATTTTCCGGTGGATGAACTGCGGATACTCTATCAATGCGCCACCGCGTTCGGAGCCTTCCAATGGGGAGGATGTCCTTGATATACCTCCGCTGTTCAATAGTCGATGGAACTCGAACTTTGGAACGTTTAGAGAGAATACTAGTAATTTCCTGGAGTGCTTTTAGACGCCTGTAAGTCTAATCACTGCTATGCACCAAACCAGGTTACACGGATATAGAGAGGGTTCCTCCGACAGCGCCTGCAATTTCTAACCAGGTGGCTCTACCCGCCTGGTGTAACGAATACTCAGCGGTATGTACGAGCCATTTTAGGCCCCAGACGAGACAACATACTTCACACAATAATTCCTAAAGAGCAGCATACTGCCCTTCTGCTTCCATGCATCCGGAGTACAGCTAGATAGAGGATGGTGCTTGGAAAAGGCAGCGCGTTGTAAGTTGCCCACACATCTTGCTGCAACTGCTAGCGTAAGTTAACGGACAATGCAAGCTTACCTAAACCTCCTCTTGGTGTATGCAGAGTGCGGGCAATTGTTCGACAGTAGCTTGGCCAGCAGTTGCCGGTTTGCACGCAAGTGGCATTGCAAGCAACAACAGAGGAACCAACATAACATGCAACTTCCCTGTGCCACCTGTATTATACTGTGTTCGACAACGAGGTAATGAAAGGAATTACGGAAAATCTAGGCTGTTGGCGAGGTAAGATTTCAGCGTGCTTATTTGTCTAGAAAAAAGTCTGAGTTCAGCCAGTGAGTTCACCCTCTGCTGATTGTTACTTGGCACGTTTTCCAAGGGCACGTGCACGTACACTGCAGGGCTGTAAAGCTTCCAGTCACTGCTGCCGACGAGAGAAGCCCAACTGGAGTTCACTTTTGAGTCATCATATGCTGCAGTGCGTCTTGAGTGGCGGACTCTTTCGGATGCATGCGGTATGTATACAGCGGGAGGGTGCACTCAACAGTGCACTGTACTGACACCGAATGGCGCACACCTCTCACCTCTCACCTGCGTGCTGCAGCAGTAATTCGTAAGCCAGATTGATCTGCTGCATCGCTTCCTGGCGAGAAGTGCACTGCTGCTGGCCTCTTTCTGCTGCACCCTCCACGCAGACGCAGCCTGCCACTTTGCTGTCACTGCTGCCGCTGCTGTTGCTGTTGCTGCATGAATTATGGGCTGCACGGTCGGGGTGGTGCAGCTTGGCTAATTGCCGGTAGCGATGCTTTATTGCTGTTGACGATGCGCCTTCGGAGAGACCAAAGAGATCACGAGCACGCTGCAATTCATCTGCTTGTTCGCTCTTGCTTCGCAGGTACTCTTCCCAGCTTAGCTGTAGCTGGTGGAGCAGCCACTCAATTCCTTCTGAACAGCTCTTGCCCCTTAGCCGCTCCCTCACCTCTCGTTGCAAACCCAATATCTCGTTCCACGCCTGCTGCAGCCCCTCCCATGCCTCCTGATGCTGCAGCTCCTCCTGCAGCAACTGCAACGGAGTATGCAACTCCGCTTCCTGGCTTCGCTGCAGCAGGGGCGTGTTCAGGAAGGCATGCAGCAACAGGAGCAGCCAAGAAAGCCCCAAAGCAAATACAAATAATCGGCGCAAAAATCCAACGCATCTCCAAGGAATACGAAAAAAAAACAACTGCACTGATGCTGCTACCCATCGGCATTTGCTGCGCAGCCGTTCACTTAAGGGCAGTTGCTGCAGCCGCTCGGATCTCACCCCAAGCAGCTGAGCCGCTGCCGCTGCTTCTGCTGCACCTTCCAAACGCATGTGCGCAACCCACAGGGCAGAAAGTTTGCTGCAGCAAGTCGCTGCTGCGGCGGCTGCGGTCAATAAGGTACCTGCAGCAAAGTACTCCTGCAGCACCTCCGTCTTAGGCAGCATTGACCAGGTGAGCTGGTGTTGCTGTAGCAGCAACAGCAGCAATGCAGCTTCTGATCGCTGCCGTTTCAGTGGCAGAAGAACTACAGAATCCAGTGGAAGTACTTGCTGCAGTGCGGCCTGCAGTAAAGCGAGGGGCAGGAGCAGGAGGCCTCCCCAACCCCAATGTCGCTCTCCAGCAGCAGCTGCTGAGACGAATGCAACACCAGAAGCAGCGTTGGCTACAAGTGAGCAAATGATGGGAGCACAGAAGGCAAAACAAAAGCGCAAATGGACATTGAACGGCTTCGGAGCAAGCTCGGTGCCGCTGCTGCTGGTGCTGTTTTTTCTGCGGCTGCATTTGGTATTGTAGTCAAGAGAACGACAAAATGTCAATCCCACATAGCTGCTGACGTGTTGGTTCATCAGAGCAGCAGCGAAAGAGCCTCTTGCGAGTGCATGAAGCAGTAGTAGCCACCAAGGAGAGAGTTGAGGATCAGCTGCCGCTGCTGCTGCAACAGAAGCAGCAGCAGGAATGTCTGTGAAGAGATGCATAAGCAGAACGCAGCCGACGAAGACGATGATACACTTCGCAGCCCCCCATAGGAAGGCTCCAGCCGCAGCAACAGCAGCAGCAGCTGCAGCAGCTGCTGTTCGAGATTGTTGCTGCTGCTGTAGTTTGCACTGCCTCAACATTTCAGCCTCCAGCAACTGTGCTACATCGCATGCAGCAGTTATGGCCTCCGGAGGAGCTCCGAAGACGACTGCAGCTAGCTGCACATCTCCAGACACTGCTAACTGAGCCGCAGCTTCGGTTTCGTGGGGAATAGACGGCTGTGCTGCTGCTGCTGGGGCTGCTCCTGCTGCTGCTGCGGCTGCTTCTGCTGTTACTGCTGCAGCTTCCACTTCTGCTGCTGCGCCTGCTGGTCCTGAACCCACCGGCGCACACTTCAGAGCAGAAGAGTCAGAAGAGGAGGCTGCAGCAGCAATGCATAGCCTCACAGCAGCAACAAGCTGCTGCAGACGCTGCCGTTGGTTCAAGAGAACCTGATTGGTGTCTTGCTGCTCCGTGTGCCGCAGAAGCAGCAGCATCCGCTGCACCCACTCCCGCTGCTGCTGCTGCAACAGTCGGGTGTATGTCTGCCGCAACCCGGAGACGATGTCGAGCAGCAGCAGCAGCCCACAACCGCCCAAAGTGAACAGCCGGAGCAGTTGCTGCGGCAGTAGAAACACAGATGCTGTGGCCTGAAAGCCCCACACACCGCCAATTATGAATCTATAGACAATACTAATTCTTAGCAGCCAAGAGTAGCCAAACGAGAACGGGCTACAGCTGTACGTACTCAGAGGCGGCACACTGCTGCCGTATATTGTTGCTGATCTCGTCAATTCTGTTTCTCCTGGTGGAGAAGCGGCGGATTCGGTCAACTCCGGTGCACAGGAGGAGGGTTTGTTACTGCAGGACTCCGCAGGTGTGTTGCAGTTAGCCGTCGTGTCCTCACAGAGGCTGCTACTGCTTGCTTCGCCACTAGTGGCCATTTTGCTGCTGTTAATGCAGGACGGGCAAACGGAGGCATCAGGAGACAAAACACGAGAACGGCAGCAGCAGCTGCTACTCCTGCTCATATGGCTGCTGCAGTAGCTGCTGCTGCTGCTGCTCATGCAACTGTTGGCAGCAGCTGGATTTTGCTCAAGGAATGAGTCCGCCTCCAAAGTGAAGCCTTCCTTGCTGTCACACCTCTTGTTGCTTCCGTTGCCGAGCTCACTGGGCCGGCTGCTGCAGGTGCCGTTGGTATCAACTCTGCTGCTGATCAGTTTGGCGCAGCAGGTCTTCCACTGTTAAATTTCAGTAAAGTTGTGTGTACGCGTGAAGCATAATCATCGGGGCTGGATGCAGCACCGTATGCAATCCTTTCTGGTTTTCGGTTCGTAAGTGTGCATGTATTCATGTCTGTATCATTGATGCGGCAAATTAGAACTGCGAAAGGGCCAAAAAGACAAATTAGAAACGCTTTGCATTCCTTTGAATGCGGCAAGAAGATCGGCTCTCTTGAGGCTTAAATGGCCCTGCGAGAATCTCTCTTTGCCTCAAGTGGTCTGTGGTTCGTCGTTGGGCACGAGGCACGGGAAAATGCTCACATTCATCGGGGACTTCAGGGACTCCGGCAATTGTGTCTTGTTTATTTGCGAAAATTTGCACATGTTTTGCAAATTTCAGACATTTCTACCCGAGAGTCCTATACCACACCTGCATGCAATTCCTTTGGCCAACACACGACCCACAGGCTGCTCAGCCTTCTCAACCAAGCGTGTTTTCGTACAGTCGGCTTATTGACTGCACTTTCGATTCAAATATTTCTCTATTATGCACGAGTAAAACAGTTTGAAAACAGTTTATTTAGGCTCGAACGTGCCTTGAACTCAGAGTGACAGCCTCGCTTCACGCAAAACCGGAAAACGGCGGTTTTTCGAACCAGCTGAAACTAAACGGATTGATGTGTGAATAAATTGAGTTTGGATATGACGTCAATGGCCTCAAGCAAAAGAAAGTTGAGCCAAAAAGAGAGGGCAGATGAACTACCGACCCACTTGATGCTGAACGGCGATGGCCAGACGTACAATTGCACGGGAACGCACGCATGTGAAGAGAATGGAATGAAATCGATTATCTAATGCGGAATAATGAGGATGTAGAATGGCAGGGCAATTAAACATGGAAAGATAAATAAGGTGAAGTAGCTAGCCCATAGCATCGTGGCGGTAAGAATGTTCCAAGCGGCGCTTGTTGTGGAAAATGTTTACCTGCACCTGGATTACAACTGCGCCAGCTAATGAGCATTTATGAGCATTTATACCTTCACAATCCATCTAGATGCTTTTCAGTATCATTCACCATGTAGCACGCCCTCCTTTGAGGCTCGCTTTCGTTCCTGTTTCTGCCTTACTACTATTCCATATAGCGTGTTGCAAACCCCACACCCTCAACAGCAGCAAGTCAGCAGCAGCCGACAAAGATAGAGCCAGATGCGGAGACAGAAACACCCATACACAGTGAAGAAAGAAATCACAGAGCAGAGAAATAGAGGAGGGGAAGTGTGGACTAGTCAAACACAACGGGAACACAACGGAACATTTGCTCATGGTTTGCATTCCGCTTTTCTATCTGTCCGTTACCTTCGTATGCATTCGCCTCTTTTAGGCGCATGTTTTTTCAGTACCCGTGGCGATTCTGGAGGAACTCAACCCAAACCCCTTAGCCCTAACGCATTAACAACAACCTAAACGCTAAAACAAAAGCCTCTAAAGTTGAAGTCTTCTGCGCCACTGGCAGACAATTTCAAACTAGGCTTTAAGGTTAGCAGACGCCATATCCTTAAGCGTAGCCCTGCTGCGGGGGCTGCCCTAGACTTTAGGGTTTGCGGCTAAAGACGCTTAGGAGGAGGGGTCTGCTGCCACCATTGTCTATAGGTACGCTAGAATGCGTTCACTTACGTGAGTGTTGACTATGCAAGCCATCAGGACCGAGAGAAGGAATATGTGCCCATCTTCACGAGCACAAGTGCACATGCAGGTCCGTACTTCTTGCTGAGCTCTGCATTCACCTAATTTTCGGCGTTAGGCAGAGCCGGGAATGTAAACGAATCAGGGGGATGATACTCCTGCCAAGTCCATTTCTGCAGGCCCAAGTCACAGAAAATAAAGCAAAACCGAATAAGCAAATATACGTACAGACCAGAGCACAAAACGCAGCCATACGAGCAGCAGGAAACAAAAGGTGTTGCAAGAGAAGCAGACAAACTGACGAACAAAGGTGGATGGCCAACGTTCAAGACTTCGAAAGAGAAGCATAGGACGGCCGCGAAATCAATAGGCACGAAAACGAACGCCAAGCTTCCCAAGGAGAAAACAGGGGCTTTACCAGTTGGAGAAAACTAACGCATATTAAACCAGTGACTATTTCTGCACCGTCATATGCTGCAGTTGAGAGAAAAGAATTTGAAATGGAAGGCCAAAAGACATGTCGGAAGACCAGCACAAGCTTGGGCTACGAGGAGTATGCCAATGAGAACACGGAAGAAAAATACGTCGAAGTATTTAACGGATAATAACATAAAAAGGGCAAAGGAAATACTACCAACTAGCCGTGTCAAGAAATTACCTGCGATTCATCATCGGGGTTGCAGCGCTCCATCGCCAGCTGGCCGCCTTTCACTGCCAGACATTCCTTCACAAGCCGATTTCTTAAGACACCGTCCTCGTAATCCCACCTAGTGGACATATATGCGAATGCATAAACGAATTAAATTCAATAAATTGAATACGTACATGCAGCCCATTCACAACATTCTAACCCACATATGTAATCGAATCAGAGGCTGAAAAGGGGTTTAAAAGGAGAAATAAACGGAGCAGCAAGCAAGCACGCAAGAAAGCAAACAAACACACAGACATACAGCGAATGAAAGAGGCACAAGGTGGAGTGCAAAGCAGATCAAGAGTCCAAACACAGGCAACAGCAGAGCAGGAATAGCAGTTTGACCATCGCTAGCAACAAGACAATGATGCAATGCAACTTCCGAGAAGGAAAAACATCTCGCAGCTGTTGCTGCTGCTGCTAGCCCTGTTTGCTGTTTCTGTTCTGTTTCGCCACTACTTCAGTAGTTTTCCCCACCCAATATATAGTTCGCGTTACGTCCTATTGATTGTTTCGTGTTATATAATGATTCATTTATTTCGAGTTACCACATCGGGTCTGTCGCCCTGCACCAGTCCCAGTCACCGCGAGGAGTCAAACACGCTTCGTCGTTATGTACAGGCATCACGTGGCCTATTTTTCTGCATGCATGCGAACAGATTAGACACGAGCTTCTGCATGAGCAATTGTCAACAGCTGGAAAGCAGGCACACAGACGCACCCACAATTCAACAAACACTTCTGCCGCAGTACTTGTCATCCCATGGGGTTTTCCGTGATGAATGTAAGGAGGGGCAGCAAGCACAGTTTGAGTTCTAAAACCAGCTAGACAACGCCCGTTCCTCCGAAAAGACAGCAGATGAGAATACAGCGATGAAGCTATTCCTCTCCGTTTGCGCGTGGCGTACAGACATGCTGTCGTCTCTGCAGTCCTCTATCGGCCACTGCTCTACGATCTCCTGGATGTGCTTAAGCGTGCAAGTGTTTCTTTTACCTGAAATACATAAACTCCTGAGTTGCGTGCCCAGGGGCGCAGGGTTTCAACGCCGGACGGCCACCTGGAGAAGCCCGGCCGACGGAGTCCATACACAAACCCGACGCAACGTTCTCCAGCTGGCCTGAAAAACCAAATCCTAAACCCTAAACACTGAGCCATGACAACTTAGCCATTAATCATAAACCCTTTCACTTAACCCTAAACACGCATAAAAGCACTCTAACTGCCCTTGCAGATGGAGTGTTTTGTTCCTTTGAGTGCTTGTCGATGCAGACTAAGCGTTTCAACTGCAGCTACGTCGTGCCTGTTCCTGTTTCCATGGGCGTTCTTCACGGTTTACGGGTTTTTTATGGAGCACGAGAAGGTTCAGTGTTTACTGTTTGCTGGTTTACCGAGGTAGGGAACATCATCGAGGTGGACGACATCTGCTTCTGGAAAGACGTTTTCCATGTACCATCTGAAGCTTTTGCAGTTGTGTTGTTTTCTCCATTCTTGGCGTTGTTTCAGCGACTCAGCACCGTAATCGACGTTGGGTCTGCCTAGGACGCGCCAGGCGAGATCTGCGTATTCGTCCATCCAGAGGAGTGTCCGCATCTTGTTGACAGTGAGTGCTTTCGGAGGAAAGCTATAACCCGCCCCTCCCTTGCGGAAGATGTGGTAGACGCGGCTACAGGGTGCGCATTCGAGGATGCCACCGCACTGCCACAGGCGGAAGCTGAATTCGAGGTTTTCGGTTCCCCAATACTTGAATCCCTCGTCGTACGCTCCGATGGAGAAAAAGAACTCCTTGTCGGCAGCAAACAGACCTCCCGCCATAGCGGGAGATGTCTGAAAGTCCGTAGGGGAATGGCTTTGCTGCTCTCGCGGCAGCCGCTGCATCTGATGCGACTCATACGAGTGCTCCATGAGTTGCCAGAGAAAGCCGAGTTTGCAGCCGATGCCCCCAGCGATATGTTCAAATGTTTCTGCGTCAATACCATCCACTTGAGGCATCACGATGCGGCGGCGATCCTGCTTAATACGAGAGACCAGCGGCTCGAGCCACTGGTTCTGCACCTCAATATGACTGTCAAGGACCACAAATATCGACGCCTCTGCTGCGCGGATGGCCCGCAGTCGCGCCCCCACAATGCCTTCGCGCTTAGGACTCCGCAGCAAACGCACTTTCGGTAGCAGCTTCACATAACGCTCCAGCTTTCCGTTTCCTCCGGCTGCTACGTCTGCCAGGTCACTGCCGTCGTCCAGCAGCACCACCTCCTTCAGTAGGGGCGGAGGCGTCCTATTCAACACGCTGTGCACTGACCGCATCAGGGTTGAAAACGGCTCGTTGTAAAACACCATCAAAACGGAAGCAGCAGGCAGAGAATCCAAGTCGTACTCCAGCGTCTTGCATGCGCTGTGGCGAGAATCTGGGGCCACACGGTCCAGAGGCAGGTGATCGCTCATCTGCAAATTGAATCCGCCGCCACGAGCTAACTCCATGGGCATATGCAGATCCTGTATGAACACCCAAAGCGCACCCGTTTGAAGACAGTCAAAGCTCTCCCTTAAGCTCAAGCGAACTCCAGAGAGGGAGCTGCGACGCAAAACACCCGACGGCCTACACTAGTTGCGGCATCTGCGGAAGCACATCTCGAATTCAAAAACTAACCAGGCTGCGCAACGACACTGTCCTCTATTTATATCCACTTTTTGCGCCCGTTCTGTGCACAAAACCTACTGGAGGGGGAGGCGGGGCTGGGACGTGTGCAGGCGTCCCATCGGAATTGAGGCCAAGGGGACCATGCATCATTTGGGGGTTGTTGGTGCTTCTTATGCTGCCCCCATCATCTTCGTTGGCTCTGGGCATAGCATCAAGGGCGCGCTTGTGTTGCTGGACAGCGCCAGAGAAGTCCATCACCGATTCTCCTTCGGTTGTCAGCTGCGTCCCAGGCAACACGTACCGCGTCAATAGCACTGCGTTCAAGAGGATCGATCCTAACCCTAACGCCATCACCGTCAACTGCAGGCAGCCCCAAATTGGCCTCCTCCAGTCGGCGGGCTGGACGTGGTGTGTTTCTACCATGGTGGCCGGTACCGTAACAGAGTAGGAAAAGCTGAAGAAAAGGCCGAAAACAGAGGGCGCAATGACTCAAACAGCACCCTATTAACTGAAATAATCACGTTATTCACTGCGATGTCGGCGTTTTCGCTGAAAACCCATGAGAAAGCTGTGAATGTACCGCCAACGGCTCCAGTTGAGCGAGCCGCCGATCAACACCAGCTGAAGCCCCCTATGCAGCTCCAGTCATGAAATACCGAGTTCAGTTGGGAATAAAAACAAAACGAGGATAAATGATAGAGAAATACAGAGCTATCAAAGCACATGGGAAGGCAAAACGCTTAAACTTTCCGCTTCGAAACTCTGGCGAGCTCGTTGATTACACGGCGCCTGCCCCCGTTGCATAGACGCAGATGTGAAAACACAAAATAAAGACTTGTCTGCCCATTAAGGGCGGTATAACAGTTGAGAAAACTCAACCTTATTATTTTTCACTTCCCTTGACTCTTACTTTCACCAGAACACACCCTCTTGCCGCAGCCGACTTGCCAGCGCGCATGCAACTCGTCGCAGCCCCAGACCATTGAATCTATTTGTCAACATATCTTGGTGTCCGGTGTTTCCCGCATCACCTTATTGCATCTGAAAGCAAAAAGGGAGGACGTTTGTCCAGTATGGCAGACACAGACGCCACCTCCGCCTATCTGTAGATCACCGCTCGCTCAGTCCTCTGTACGTCTATCGGTGGGCAGTTGGCCGCCCTATCCTACGGTTTGTTTCTATTCCTATCTTACCACGATGAAGAATTTGAAGATATTGACAGTGCAGGTCTCGGTAAGAAGGGCTTTCTGACTCTTCTCCTGTGCACTACTGGGTTTAGAATCCCTAAAACAGTGCTGCTCGGAGGAGCAGACAAGTCTTGGCTATTCAGGCCTAAACAGAGGAAACCTGGATGGATTTCAGTTGCGCATATACTTCATTATGGCATTAAGGGTATATATACTTTATGTAAAGGGGTTAACATCGCTGGCAAACGGGCCTTATAAAAGCCTAGATTGTCAGCAGCCTGCGGCTCCGCATGATTTGAACATAGGTGAAACGTGCTCCTGACGATTTATATGCCACTTTTCTGCTTATAAAGCGTGTACTGTCATGTATTAACATCACGCGTGCTCGCGTCCAAATGCCTATGAAGAGATCCACGTGCAAATATCACCATATATGCAGATACATGTACAAATATATGCTTACATACATGTTTATGCATGCGTGTATGCATATTCATAGGCGAAGCTAACGAAGGTAGGTCTTACAGTATTAGGTCAACTGCGGCACCCAGTGAAACTTCGAGGTGAGTCCATTCTATAGGGAAGATAATTGCTCGCAGTATCGGGTTTCCAAAGTATTGCCAGTAGTATGATCACATTGTAAGTTGAGCATATTAATAGTATTGCCATATCATAATTAGGCTAGCAATGAGTAGCCTAGTTAAAGGGTGTTTTGCATGCTGGCATTCATCTTCTCCGGATATACGTCCCTAAATGTTCAAGCAATGGGCAGGCCCTCAGGATTGGTGAATGTGAGTGTGGCAGTGTTTAATTTGAATTCTTCCTCCAGAAATACAGGATAGTTGGAATCTTTTGGGTGTACGTTAAGCCACAGAGTCGACTTAATGGAGAAGCAGACATACAGAACGAGATAGAGGAGAACCTAGAATCTACCTAACTTTCATCCTCCTCTTCCGCAAAAATTCTTGCACGGCCAAAATTCTTGCACGGCCAGCATAAGTCAATAGTCGTGGCTTGATTCTTTATCTCGTTTTGCTTGTCTTTTCTCCCAAGTTGAAGCACGACACCTCCCTGAAGAGCGGGGATCACTGGCCCACAGGCTCCTAGAGATTAAACGATCGAACAGCCTGTCTTAAAAAAAGTCTAAACGCTTACACTTGATTCTCAGTAGATTTTTAGCATACGGCTATATTCAAAACTGCCTCTACTTAACAAACCCTCCCCGTGCTGGCAAAGGGAGGATCTCAGGTAGTCGCGACTAATGGTACAAAAGGTCTTAGGTGGTTTTTCCGATAAGTTTACAGACATGCTCTGCACTACGGAAGTGCACTGCTCGTGGAGGTATGTGTATTCTGCAACCGTTGAAAATATCCATACAGCTATCAACCTTAAATGAAGAAGACACATAGACCCATAGTAACACACATTAGGAGAGCAATGCCGCCCTCGTCTTGTTCACAAACGAGGCAGTCTGTTGTATTTAAATACGACTTGGCTATAATTTGCAAATATGTAAGAAACACAGGGCCTTTAGTCCGCCGTCAGACACAAATACTCCGTTCGTCTCAGAGGCCAGAGTCTGCGGTAGAGTGTGTTCATTCGTTGCTAGCTGCTTCGCAGTTCATTCCCCGCTATATTCCTCATTTTCATGTTAAAAAATAAATATGTTATTTATTTAAACGTAACTTGATGCAACTGCATCTTGAACGACACAAGAAGGAAGGCGCGTAGTGAGCGCCTGCAGTGCCTCCGGTGCTCTGCTCTCCCACTCAAGTTGACGAGCGGAGGATTCTGCAGCAAAGCTGTCCTGATAATAAGCCATTATTCTTTGTTTATTTCATCTAATTACTTCGGTCAGTTGGGGTATTTAGCGCCGAAAAAACCGAACGTGCACTAAGGCAACAGCCACACCTGCGTGTGTTGTGTGCGCGATCACGTAGGCCAGCACGCACATTGTTCATTAAATCCATCGAGCACCTAATTGCTTAGTAATAAGAGCAATTTGCCGCCATAAAAGAACAATTAAAAAATCGCGATGCAACACAGATGCGTTAAAAGAGGTTGAAAGCTCACTGCCCAGCCTTACAACGTGAATGAACGAGAGTTGTTGCATGAGGGGCTCTGATGTGCCTGTTCCGTCTCTGGCGGAAAGAGCGTAAGTTCTTTCATGTCTAGTTGTTTGCAACTTCTGGATAAAAGGAGAAAACAAATGGTAATCGTAACCAACGTCAGCAGAGCATTCCGAAGCCAGATTGACACCGGGTAGGCAGGGCTGCACAGACGGCTGGCAGACGGCATCGGGAGAGTGCCGTTCAAAGGACGTTTAAGAGAGAGACGTGAATAACACGTTTCTAGTGGGTTCAAACTTCACTTTCAATTACTTATGAACAATATTTTCGCGGTTAACAGCGGTAGCTTTCACGCATCGGAACGCAGGCCTGCCGCGTCTTGCAGCAACCGGACCATAGGGCACAGGAACCTCTGCAGTTGGCTGCGAAACCGAGGGCGGAGTCCTCTTGATTATTGTTTATCTTGTTTACATTTGCGGATTCTACGGATGTTTATTCTTTAGAATTCGTTCTGAACATGGGAACACGGTGGATTCAGGCACCTTTCCGCCATTGTTTGGAGTGTACGCCCGCCAAACTGCTGCCAATCCGCGCTCGCAAGGGATCGCCAGTTTTTCCTCTGTTGTTTCATTTACCTTAATGAAGCCTCTTGATGCTCATTGCATTTAACTTGCTTTTCATCTTGCCACGAGAACGCCGCGTGCATTCTTGCGACACTTCCGCGCTGCGTACGTCCCTCTTGCTCGTCTTAGGAGGACTGTGAGCTGCAGAGTCCGAGAGAATCGCGTTTTCCTATTGAAACCCGGATCGATCGGCACCTTTTGTCCAAACTTACTGCAGCATTCGTCGAAGTAGAGGGCTTTCTGGACGTTAAAGGTGCCCTACAAGCGATACAGGCGGGTGTGAACTCGCCCCACCGCCTTTGCCCCGCAAAGCCGCTGGTCGCTTTCTTAGCCTGTTACCGCAGCAATCCATACCGTATCTTCTCTTCTGCTTCGGTTAGGCGCTAGTATTTCAAGAGGCCTCTTGGGAGCAGCAGAAAAGGGCGTCCGCAGCAACAAGAGGAAGGATTCAAACCAGCTGAGGTCGGCGGCGCCCGGCCGGCATTCTCTTTCGTCCACTGGAGTCCATTGCAACGTTTTGCTTTAGCTCATTTTGGGGACTTTACGGATTTTGAGGTATCTTGCGAGGTGTTTTGTCTTCTACTTTCCCTGGTATTACTCTCTTGAACCATCGCATGATGGCACACAGGAGGAGCTCAGCCGCCTCCGCAGCGGCTGCAGCACCTCAAGATCCGCCGAAGGCCAAGAGAGCGCGAGCGACGCGATCGTTGCAGATGGAAGAGGCAGAGCTCTTTCCCTGTACTGCCGTTGCTAGCGGCGTGCAGGGGGAGAAGGCGGACAACAGCACAAGCACCAGCAGTAACAGCAACAGCAACAGCAACAGCGTGAGCAGCACTGTGAAAGGCACAGCGGGAGGCCTCAAGGAGCCAACTCCTAAACGAAGACGCAGCAGCACGACAAGCAGTCGCCGCAGCAGCATCAGTGTGCCAGTAGACGATCGCCCTGAGGCGCGATTATGTAAGTTTTTCTCTTTATTTCTCTCCTTTGCTGCATTTGTACTTCGTTGGGGTATTCATTTCTTAGTCCTTCATCTTTTATATTTGTACCTCATGAAGATGTAGTACTATATCTGTGGTAAAATATTACCTTCTTTCTCTGTCTCTGTCTCTCTCTCCTCCATGCTGCTATTCGGTGCTGCTGTTTGCTGCCCTCGTGCAACTCTGTAACTGTGTGCTCTTTCTTGAATATTTCCTAAGACTTTATTATGACGGCACATAGCTAATACATAGTCTTTTAAAGCATTTTATCTACAATTATTAATGATAAACTTTTGTTAATTTGCTGTTGTGCTGCAGGTGATGTTGCAAAGGACGACAGCAATGCCGACTCCCTCTGCAGCACGCAACAGCCGGCAACGCCAGTTGGGCAGTCCCATACGCCAGAGCGTCTTTGTGCCTCTCCTTCGCCACGTTCAGACTCTGCAGATGTGCCGCTGACAGCAGCTGCGGCTGCGGCAGCTGCAGCAGCTGCAGCTGCTGCAGCTGCTGATGGTGAAGGCGAAAGAACTGGCGAGACGCCTGAAGATCGAGAAGATAAGCATCAGCCTCCTCTATTCCCAGCCCCATCCCCTACACCCTCTCTATCCTCTGACGCGGAGTTGTGTTGTTTCCAGCCACTGTGCCCTGCAGCAGCTTTCCTGTCTAACAGCACTGGCAGCAGCGGCAGCAGCAAGTCGACGACAGCCACAGGCGCAGAACAACAGCTACAGCAGCAGCGCGAGCAAGAGCCGGAGCAGGAGGAGCAAGAGCAGGAGCAGCAGGAGGATCAAGAGCAGCAAGAAGATCAGGAACAGCAGGAGGATCAGGAGGAGCAGCAGCAGCTCTTCGAGGCTGCCTGCTACTGCGATGTACCTGGCTACTTACCAGGACAGGGTGGGGCCCTCTTGGGCCCCAACTACGCAGATATACATACAGCTGAGGAGTATTTGGGGCTTCCGCGGCGCCCCATTAAGATAATGACATACAGCAACGACGGCAGTTACACAGAAACCTTCTGTGAAGAGGAAGAAAATGAGGGGCAGGCTGCGACAGCACAAGAGGCGCCTGTTGCTGCCGAATCGGGAGCAGCAGGAGCAACAGCAGGAACAGCAGCTTCTTCCTCTTCGCAGCCATGCGCTGCTCCGGAGGGTGAGCGAGCATCAGAAGCTGCAGGGGAGTCAGCAGCAGATAATAACACTGCATCTGCTGGTGCTTCAAGGGCAGCCGGTAGCTCCTCCTCCTCCTCCTCCTCATCATCATCATCATCTAGCACGCCAGCAGTAGCAAGCACAACGGCTGTAACAACAGCAGCAACAACAACAGCAGCACCATCGGGATATCAGCGTATCCTATGGGCAGATGAGGTGATTGACGCCTCTTATAGACGTAAAGTATGGTATAGAACAGATCTACATACATTCTTCTCTTGGTTACGAAGTCCTAGTCGTCATCGTCCTGTTAAACAGAGGACATATAATGCAAAAGTCTTAGGATATAGCGAGGCAAAGCGTCTTGCATTTTTGTTTCATCCGGAGGAATGCGGTGATGCAGACTTTAAAAAAGTTTATTATTTATGGAAACTTAAAATGAAAGGAAAAAAGAAGGAAGAAGAAGCAGCAGCAGCAGCTGCAGCGGCGGCAGCATCAGCACCTGCTGCATCAGCAACAGGCACAGACGCAGCTACTGCACCAGGAGGAGCAGCAGGAGCAACAGCAGCATCAGCTGCAGCAGCAAACCACCCACCAGACCCTCCAGATACAGGAGATGCAGCAACAACTTCGTCAACAGCACCGTTGCTCCAACCGCCAAGCAACCGCAGGGGCTGGACACTTAAACGTAGGAATACTCGGCAACGGGAAGCAGCAGCAGCAGCAGAGCAACAGCAGCAACAACAACAACAACCCCCTCCTGTGTCCGCTGTAGCTGGAGAAGTCTTATCTGGGCATACTGGCTTTTCTTTCTCCTTGTCTACACCAAGGCAGCTACGATACCTCAGGGATTACGGCACAATTGGCGGTGCTGCTCTTGAGGATGCGCTGTTTGCCGATAGCAGCAGCAGCAACAGCAATGACAGACACAGCAGCAGCACTGCAGTCGATAATGCCGCAGCAGCAGAAGACGGAGCAGCAGACGCAGCAGACCCAAATCTGCATGACCTTTGGCGTGTTGTTGAAGCAACCACGTGGGACTTCGGCGCAGCCGGTTGCATCACATTTGCCTCAACCTATAGAGGGGAAGAGGAGGAGGATCAAATGCAGCAGCAGCAGCAGCAACAGGAGCAGCAGCAACAGCAGCAGCAACAGGAGCATCATGAAGAAGAACTGTCTTCTTGCCAGCAGCTAAGTGTAGAAGAAAAACACCATAAGAAGACTACAGTGACAGATGCGCCTCAACCGGTGCGCCACAGCTGCAGGCAGCAAGCAGCATTAGAAGCAGCAGCAGCAGCAGCGGCTGCTGCCTCAACAGCCGTGGCAACAAGTACACCGTCTACTGCTGCTCACCACCAGCACCAGCAGCCACACAAGCAGCAGCAGCAACACCGCCGGACGCAACAGCGACAGTCTGTCGCAGCACATTCCTCTCGCATTGCAGAGGAACAGCGGGCACAACAGCTGCAGCAGCAGCAGCAGCAGCAAGAACAGGAGGAGAGGCAACAGCGACGCATGGCATATGAGAGGCGAATGCAGCAGCAACACGAGCAGCAGTTATTGTTGCTGCAACTGGAGGCACGGAAAATGGAGGCGCAGATATTGCAGCGAAGGCAAGACCTGGAGCAGCAGGAACTGCAGCAGCAGCTGCAGCAACAGCTGCAGCAGCATCTCCGTGCTGCTGGAGTCGTGCAAAGACCCGACCCCCAGGAAGAGGAGCGGAAGCAAAGAAGGGCAGCGGAGAGGCGGTGGTTGGCTGAAATGATTGGGGACTTGAACCTGCATCAGCAGCAACAGCAGCAGCAGCAGCAGCACCATCATCATCATCAGCAACAGCACCAGCATCAGCAGCACCATCATCATCCGCAGCAGCATCAGCAGCAGCAACATGCGTTTGGGCGTCGTGGCTCCTCGGATTTGGCTGAGCACCAGCAAGAAATACACCAACGAATAGAGGAGTCAGCAACTGCAACAGCTGCTGCAGAGCTGCAGCAACGGCAGCAGGATATAGCTTTGCTGCTGCAGCATTTGAACCCACAAGTGCGGCAGCGGCTGATTGAGCTCGTCCGAGAGAAGCTGCTGCAGCAATAAGAGAAGCACCACCGCTGTTGGAGCAGCTGCAGCAAGATCATATGCATGCACGCATGCATGCATATATGCATTAGGCAGCAGCACCGTTTTCCGATTGCTGTACGCCCCTTAATAAGTGGCATTTGTATAGTTTGTGTGTACGTACATGCATAAAGCACGCATTTGCTATGTATGCAAACCAGCGGCAATATCTGATGGTGATCTTGCGCCATTATTATTATCTACATGATTTGTTGTTGCTGTTGGGTGTATGTACACCGCCGCCTATACAGACATAATATTAGCTAGCCTGTTGGCGTTCGCTGGCGCAGTGTTTATCCTTTTTATCTGCCAACTGTTGCTGCAAGGCAACGTAAACTGAGGCATTTGTTGCTGCGGCAAAAATATAAATTAAAATAATCCAATGTTACCTGTTATATATATATAATGTATGCATGCATATAATGTATACATACATTGAATATATTATCTGTGGCACCTCGAGCAAAAGGAGAGAGGGTCTTAGAAGGCGAGAGGGCTGCTTTTATAACAGACTTCTTACTAATTATTAGGATATTTTAAGTATACACATATATATTGCTACTACTATACTTATATTCAATGTACGCCTTACAGGACATGGCACAGGTACTGTACCCTGTCGCAGAGGGCACTAATTGCTCCCCTTCAATACACAGAAATGATTATTTTTATCATTGCTGTTCTAATCCACTTCAGTAAGAAGTCTACCGCTTAGGGAAAATGTACGTCCTGTGTCTAGTGCTACACCACCGGCCTGCCTGGGTGGTCCCCACAAGCAGACCTGTTCCAACACTGCAGCAGTAGAAAGTAGAAACCTAAACTCCCTATACGTGTCTTAGTACGAGCTAAAAATGACACTACAGGTAAGGACTAAGGCAAACATTGCTACAGAAGTTCGCCGGTGGTTGCTGCCTAGGTACACCAACGGCAACCCAGTAATATATATAATGCACCATGCACACCACTTGGACACAAGATGCAGCAAAATAAGTGGAAAAAGACACAGAAAATAAAGGATGCAGGGGATATACAACGAAAGCATTGAAAAAAACGCCAACGAAAATACATATAAATATATACAAGTCAGAAAGGCCAAAAAACTGAAGCATAGAACAAATAGATATAGAATCGTTAGCCCCTAAAGGCCCCAGAAATTGCCGCCTTCCCGTGAGGGTCGGCGAACGGGAATTGGAGTAGTTTTCAACTAGCAATCATCGCGCATCCGCTAGGCGTCATGTGCAGCGACATTGCCCCTTCCGCAAGGATGCTTTACTACCACCCCACAACGCCCCACCCTTTGTGCGTTGGAACGGCGAATAGGGAGGGCAAACTGTTTTGACCCAATGGAGGAAATCCAAGTATTTCTCCATAACTTATGCTATAATTTTTGGAACTCTTATTATTTTCGTTACTTCTAAAGAATAAAGATTCAAAAGAATGATTACTTGCACCCTTTATAAGAATTCGTGTCCTGCTGACCCACGGTCTAGATGCACAGTGATACCCCAGCGGCACGGCCGAGGCTCCCCTCAGTATACGTCTACCTGAGGACCTCCCCACTATTTTTCCCTTCTTGAAAATTTAAAAAAATTAAATTATATTTGTAACAAGCGTTTCTCCTTTTCTAGCAGGGAAAGACGACAGATCTGCAGCCCCCCACTCGGCACTGGACAGTGTGCACAGGATTTCCGCAGTTGAACCTTTGGATCTTCTTGGTTGCTTCGCCCAAACAGCGAAACGTAGGAAATTAATTTTTATTTATCGCTGCTAAATTTCTGTTTGATTTATTACTTTTTTTCCTTTCCTTTTGCTGGTAAAGATCATTTAGGCATCTGTCTTTGCTTCTGTGCAGTAGCGGTATGGGTATACGATCGCTGATGCAATCTGTCTGCATTTGTTTCTTCTCTGGAATGTTTCTGTCTAAACACCAGTAAATCGTTAAAAAGGAATAAATCCATTTGCCTCGCAACAGTTGCATGCAGACCAGTGGTCTACATCGCAGGGTGGTGGTGCTCGCTGTGCTGCAAAATACCGATTCCTTGTGTATGAGCTCTTATTTTTTGCGCTCAGTTTGTTTAATTCTTTAGAATAGAATTAATACACAGACGTTTGTTTCCCTCGTGCTTGGACAAGCAGAAGAAGATAGGGGCGTCAGTTTTATGCAGGAATAAGGCCTATATTGTAGAAGTTGTATTTCCATAGGCAGGATAAGGATATTGAACTACTAATAAAGGATGCATAGCAGAAATTAATCCCTTTGTGTTCTTCTTAACAACAGAAAAAGCCATTAAGAAGTATTTTAAATAACTAGCAGTAAATAAACAAAGAAGAAAACAAGAAAGAAGGCATAATGATACGTGTTCCCCCTCTAATATTCAGTCACAATAACAGTATAGAAACATCAGGACTAAGAGAGCTACAAAGCCCTGCTGAGTTGTATACAAAATACTATAGATATAAATACCATATAAATTATATACAGATATAAATAATGAATATAAATTATATCTATATATAAGGAGAATAATAACAAACACAAAGCAGGAATAAAGAAAAAAAAAAAAAAAAAAAAAAAAAAGGAAAAAAAAAGGAAAAAAAAAAAAAAAAT